CATTGATACCTTTCATACACCGCATGAATACTCTCGGCCTCATCGAGAACATGCGTTGACGCGCCTCGAAGAACAATGGTACATGCTTCTCCTGACTTGCAGCCTGAAAAGCGAACCAGTTTGTCTTCGCCGACCATGATTTCGTCTATCAGGTCGCACGTTCCTAGGGTTGCAAGCTCAGGTTGATCAAAGGTAGAACAGATTTCAGCGCCCAAGACGGCCTGCAGAATGCACTTTGGATGATTCCCATTGCTGACACTGGCTCGTGCCGCCAGGCGTTCGACGCCCTCAAAATCAGCATGCTCGATGGCCATGACTCCATGTTTTGCAAATATTTCCTCTGGATAATTGTAAATGAGCTGGCGGTTGATGAAAACATTAATTCCATGGTCACAGATGCGAATACACTTTGCTGCCATTTTCTCCTTCTCAGCGACTTCAATTTCGGCCACTTTTGCCAGACTGGCAACTTTGACACGCGCGCCATAGATCTTGATCTTATCGGAGTCCATTGCTGTGTTAGCGACCATCACCTTGGCATTTTCCACGCGCCGCGGTTGACCAATCCCTATTTTTTTATCAAGCACAAAGCCTTCTGCAAGGTAAGAATCACGAAGCGAGCCACCCGGCTTCTTGATCAGCTGAACGTAGTCTAAATTCTCCGAACCACGCAACCGTAGCACTGCGTCAACGGCAAGTTTTGCGAAGTGCTCCTACAAAGGTGTGCAGTATCACTGTAGTATACACCAACTTGGCAAATAAATGGATACCTTTTCGTAGACTACCAGTTTAGAGCTCAACGTCGTTTGTGCAATCTCTATTAAGTCTTTCCGGAAAGCGCCGGGGTCTCCTTCAGCATTGGAAACAGCTGCATTTTCAAGTTCGGATCGAGCAAGTCGCACTGCTAAACGCCATCCAGCCTAATGAAGTGCTTGATTGTCCTGGAATTCCCAACATGCGCGCGGTTGAGCACAGCAATAGTCTGTGGGTGCACGCGTGCATCTATGAGCTTTTCGGCCTCTCGTAAAAGCTCACCACAGAGGACCTTTGTCAATGGGTGATATCATATTTTGGAGGATGTGGAACACAGAAGATTACTGCAACGCTCGTAGTCCCGTCGCCGACTTCCTCGTCCTGCGTCTTCGCAATGTCGACTAGAACTTTTGCAGCAGCATTGTCTATGTGTACAGAACGTAGGATTGTCGCGCCGTCGTTTGTGACCTAGCTGTGAACCCTTGCTAAAATACTGCTTACAAGAATACCTCAATCTTGTTGTCCGAAGATGACACGGACTGCAAGATTTTGTCCATGCCTTTAGGGCCGAGTGTTGACCTGAAAATGGATTCTTGATATGACATCGTCTATTAAGAATACTTGCTTAACGAGGTCTGCGATAGCTATCGCACCAACAAACGAGGCCATCCTTGCATTTTCGCCCTTTTCTATTCCTGCGCCTTCGTTAATGATGCCATCGTTCATGACAGAGCTTTGCGTCGGCGGCCTGTGGCTTGCAGTTTACTCGCCGACCACTCGAATTTCGTACGGTATCCGCAAATAAATCCGAGCCGAGCTTCGAGACAGACCCAGGGCTACGGCAGCGGCCAGCCCTACGGCCGGCCGGGCCCGACGACCATGCGCGACCACGGCGCGGCCGCGACCGGCGAGGACGACTGGCGTACACCACCCGTCGCACGCGCCTTCCACACGCCTCCGGGGGGTCTAGGGGGCGTCTACGCGCCTCAGCGGGGCGTTAACGTACGTGTAAAGTGTTCTCGCGGGTTTCGCCTGTTCTGGCCTGGTTGGGCCTGCGACGACCGGCGGCCTTGTTCACGTATGCGAAGACCCACTTCTTGGGCATCTTGCTGTTCTCGACGGGGTTCGCCCCAGGATCGAACTTGTTGGCGCTACTGAACATCGTCGCCATCGCGGCGTGGGCTGCCCAACTTTGGGAGCGCGCATCTTGGGCCGACACAGACATGATAAGACAAAAACTGGGAGATTTGATTCGGAGGAACTCGGGAACGGGCCAGACGCTGCTAGCGCTGGCCCATAAGGTGCTTCAAGAGGAGGGAAAGGAAAATTCGTTGTCCGCGGAGTCGGGGTCGTATCTCTCTGTCGACCTCTCCCTGGAGCGACTTCCGGGATTTTGGGGGACGCGAAAATTAGGGGAACTGCGTGGGGCGTCGCCCCACGGCGAATGCGCCGGTTTAGGGCTCCCCCAAAACTCGCCCCGGCTGAAGTGGGTCACAATGCCGTCATTTTGCAGTGCACGGGCTGCCTTCGGAGAGCGTCGCCGGAGAGCGTCGCCGCCTCGGCGGTCGCCGATGGGCGGCGGCGGCCGCCCGCGCAGCGCCGATGCGGAGCGGGGCACGGTCGTCGTCGACGGGAGGACGTACGAGTTCGCCGCGCACACGAACAAGGACCCGAGTCGCTGGCGGCTCTACTTTAATGAGCCAGCAGAGGAGCCAGGATACGCCTAGGATACCCGTAACGCAGTCTCACTCTGATCTGGCCAGGTGGGAAGGTGGAACCTGCCTCTTTCAAAAATGGTGATGTGGCCGACGAGCCCACCATGGCGCTGCGCATCCGCGAGAAGCTCGCGCGCATGAGGGCGGCAGCGGCCGAGGCGCCGGCGCCAGCGCCGGCGCAGGAGGCGTCGCCGTTCCGGAACAAGAAGCGCGGCCGGACGGAGGTCGAGCTGCCGAACGTGTCGCCGTCGGCGGTGGCGGTGTTCCGGCGGCCGACGCGGGCGCAGCGGGACGCGACGACCGGGTTTTCAGTGTCGCCCCTTAGTTTGGTGTTTCCACACTTCAAGAAAAAAAAGAGAAGAAGAAAATCGGCGCCGAAGGCGCCGTGGGGCGGCGCCGAAGGCGCCGGGAGGCGGCGCCGCAGGCGCCAAGAGAGCGCCGCAGGCGA